TGACGAATAAATAAATTGAATTGAATTGAATAATAAACGTGGCCTCAGATAAAAGCCTTGGGGGGGGGGAGGGGGCGTGCCAATGAGATAATTTTTTTAAAAGTAATTACAACGCGAGGTCTGTTCCATCCAAAGAATCATTTTGTCGGGACTCAAGTATGCTTTTCTGGAGTAGTTCATTTCACTCTTGACTGTACAAGCAGATGTCTCAATCAATGATTATACCGCGTTCAGGATCTTCTCAATTTAGCTGTTTAAAATTATGAAAAATGTGTGAGGTGCATGGAAAGCTCATGTACAGAACTACACAATGTACATCTGTTTCTCATCAACCTCGCCCATAAACATTTTTTTCTTTGTGATCCAAGTGTTTTGAGATGTTTTGTTTCATATTCACTGTAAGCATCACAAGGAGCCCAGTATTTCCTGAATTTTCGTAACCAATTCCAACACATCATTTTCAGGCGCTCAACTTCAATAATCTTTAAAGGGAATATACATCATTTGCTTTTGCTGTAATTTTCAGAAATGGATGGAATTGGGGGGTTGGAAATATAGAGCAAATATAGTTACACTGACTTTTTTGAGGTTTTGGGTTCAAAAATGCTATAAAAACCAAGAAAAACAATCATTTTCCTGTAGTCTGGTTCCCTGACTCCATTTAAGAAGAAACAGAGCAGTTTACATACATTGGGGAATTGTAAGGTCAGGGAACCAGTCTAGCTGGCTTGTACCCGTTCATAGGTGTGTAATCGATTGCAAACAAGTGCGATGGTCAATTGGGGCCAGTATTTGAAAAAAAGCCAGTTTTTTTCCAACGCTGGTCGGCCAATCAGCGTTGGAAATTGATACAAAAATACCACTTTTCTTGAAAATAACAGTATACCAGGTGCCATGATTTTACAGGATGCTTTACACTGTCATTGACTAACAGTCCAGCAAGGTATTTCAAAATGATTTGGTAGTTTTATTTTTTGATGTTTGCAAATGTTGTATTTTCCCTTTAACCCTTACTCTCTGAGGGTAGTTTACTGCATGTCAGTTGGTTATGCCAATGCCCTCCAGCTGCAGTTTATTGGCAGATAGTTTTATTTAACAGTGAAGGCTCCAATTGGCAGGAGTTGGAGGCCCTGGAGGGTGCCTGATACTGACCAGCTGGGGGCACTCACTTTGTTATCAGAGGACTCTCATTGTTCTCTGTGGCATGTATTGGAGTGCCTGTCCAGTTACCCTTGAAATGACATGGCAGATATTGGAGGGCCATGCAAAAAACATAGGAGATTTTCTTGAGGCACATATTGGCATGCATTGGAGGGTCTAGTAGGGTAAGGGTTAATAAAGATTTTTCGCTTTACTTTCAAAACGGTCCATGCGTGCACTGTCCAACAGTTTTCCATCTGTGTATGACGAAAATGATGTTTAGACAAAAAAGACAGATCACGTTCTGTTAATCAAATTGCATAATTTTTTTCTCTGTCTATTTTCGTTTGGCAGCTGGGACCAAGTTCACTTTGGACCGAGTTGGTTTCGGACTGAGTTGACTCGAAACCATAGACGGGTTTCGAGTCTTTTTGGTCCCAAACCAACTCGGTCCCCAGTCAACGGTCCCAGGTCAACTGGGTCCCATGTCAACTCGGTCCCATGTCAACTCAGTCCCATGTCAACTCGATCCCAAGTTAACTTGGTCCTAAATCAACTTAATGGGGAGAAAATGCTCTAGCAAGGCACTATAGGGGCAAACATCAAATTGCGCCATGCTAGGGGCCATGCCATTTAGGGTACACCAACAATACGCGTTATTAGTGGTTATGTCATACACCGCTGATGTCACGCCTTGCCGAGGTCACACGTTCCACACAAACCTGGCCTTATGTAGCTATAGCACTGTGCCCACATTTTCATAATTTTTTTTATCCGTTGCAAAATTAAAAAAAAATTGGCATCCGTTATTTTGTGGGCACCGCTTCATATATAAAGCCAGGTTTGTGTGGAACGCGTGACCTCAGCAGTGTATGACGTACCCACTGTAACGCGTATTGTTGATGTACCCTTACATGGCACGGCCACTAACATGGCGCAGTTTGATTTTCGCTCCCAATACCTTGCTACAGCATTTTGTTCTCCAGCAAATTGATGTGGGACTGAGTTGACATGAGACAGAGTTAACCTGGTACCGATTTGACTTAGGACTAAGTTTGCTCAAACTGACTTGGTTTGGGACCGAGTTGACTCGAAACCAACTCAAACGGGGTCAACTCGGTCCCAAGTAATGCTGCAACTGATCCTCAAAGTTCAATTCGGTTCGGTGGTGGTTTGATTTTTTTCTCTCCAAACTTCGGCTCGGTTCGGCTTCGGAAGTGCATACATAATGTACATGTCCATGGTACAGTGTGTAGGGCTATGTATGAAAAGCATAGGCAGTTCCCCTGTTTGAACAAACACGTGTGTACCGCGCACGTCTGACGGAAATAGGCACCGCAATTTCCACATGCTATACAACACAAGTTGAAGGAGGAATCTCATTTTTGTTGTTTAAATAACAAATAATTGTAATAATGTGAGTTTATGATGTTGCGAAATGAAAATCGTAAATTGATAAATGTTACCTATCGCGACCCGCGGCCCTCAGGCTATCCCGGCCCGGTGATCTACATGTATGATCAAAATTTTCCCACACGTGCTGACTTGTTTTCCCGACAAGTTCCGTCTGAGCATGCCCTGAGCACTAAAAACTTGCTTCATGGCAATAATATGCTGATTAGTTTTGTTCTAAGAACAAACAGGTCCTGTTACTGTACTAAACTTATGAAATCATAATTATTTTTAGTAACAATTAAGCTGACAAATAGCTACCATAAAAAATATCAACTTTTCAATTCGTGACTTTCATCAAATTCTCATTCACGATTAAGAACTTATTCTGAACAAGGGAAAGGTTTCTGACTCCATAAAAAGTATTATTTGTAATTTTGACACGGTAAAAAAAACCCTGAAAATGCTGGTAAATTGTGCAGAGGAAAGCACACCCTTCACCGCAAATGGTTTGGTCCACACGAATTACGTCACGCTAGAACACGGCGAGATATCAGCCGCGCTGCCAAAGAGCACGCTTTTCATTGAGAGAATTGCAGGTGCGTACAAATTTTTCAAAGCGTATATACTATTGTTTGCCTGGCTAAAACATCGCAAGTAATGAAGATGAATGCGGTGACTTGTAAAAACGGTAAATTTAATCATCCGTGCTCTTTAATTTTGCCCTCTCATTGCAAGCTTTAGCATTCCTAGCACTATCAACAAAAAATTGCCGAACTCTTGCGAACCGGTTCGGTTCGGTTCGGCTTTATTCGGTTTGGTTCGGTTTAGCGGTTCGGCTGCAGCACTAGTCCCAAGTCAACTCGGTCCCTGGTGCCAAACAAAAATAGATGGAGAAAACGTCTGCAATTTGATTCACAAATCACAGAACGTGATCGTCTTTTTTGTGTATGTATTTTCAGTGGTTAACCTTTTGATGTACATATTTGGTTTAATCATTTTTTTCGACGTTGTACCGGATGTACCGGTTGTACCACTCTTTGAAGCAGCGTGTTTCACCGAAACTTCCTGCAGCAACAAGTGGCTCGTATCCCGCAATACACTGTTATTCCCATTAATACCTTTTTAACGAAATAAACAGTTAAAATGCTCCAATTTTGTGACTTTTCTTTTGGCGATATTTCCAGACTTCTTTATGTTCATGTTCATGGGCTATATTTTAGCTTATGCGTGGTACCCTGTCTCTTCAATATGCGTTCTTATATACCACCATAGACGGACCCAGGCTGCGTTAGACGACGTCTTCATCGTTTAAAACAACGTCCAGGCTATGAACTTCTGCTGCCGTAGATGGAGGAAGCTGAAATTTCGTTTACATATTCCTTGTGTCCAGAATTACCAGTACAGAGATGCTTGGTTTAGGAAAGGTAAATATGTCGGTGGGCGAAGTGTTTAAAGAAAATAAATTGCAGATCTACGCTTTCGTCGTAAACATCCTCAGTATACTGCTGTACAATGTCGTTTGAAAACTTCCTTACGCGCGCGCACCCATAGCAACTGTGTTGTGTACGCGCGCGTAAGTCTCACGCGAAGGTGGTTGAGCGCATGTGCAGTGCTGTATTGTTACAAGCTGCCGTAGGACTGTTGTAAATTTGGCCAATCATTGTCTTGCATGGGGCTGGATCAATGCTGGTTCAGCTAGGGGCCATTTTTTCGCTTGTTCTTTGAAGCTGGTCTTTATATCACCGTTAATACACCCCCACGTGATCAAGTCTCGACCAATCAGAAGCCACCGACTCTCCAAGGTATTTATTAATTTGAGCTAAACAGAGTTTCAAGATATCCGACTTTGAGGTAAGGTGAGTTTACTGTATGTAAGGCCATGTGTGTTTATGCATATGGTATAAATTGAGGACACACATGTGAAACATCCTTTCTAATAGAGGACAGGACGTCCTCGAACGGAAAAAGCGTACAAAACCAAAGGGAGTTGTTACAAAAAAGTTTACGTACGAATAATAGAACAAAAAAAGCAAGCCTGACCGCATACAGAGCTGCCAACTCTCCCTGATTCTGCAGAAAGTTCCCTAAATAAACCAGTCTTTCCATGTTCTGATGGAAAAAAAACCTTTTCCCTATTATGTTGAATGTAATTATAAAACTCTCCCTGATTATTGTACAAAATCTTCCTGATTTATGCAAATGTTGGCAGCTCTACATGCATGATCTTGTTATCCTTTACGACCGAGAACTTGGGACAACAGGGGATTTGCAATAACAATAACCCAGAGGACTTGAGCAAAGTCCTCTCCTGATTTTGATCTTCATTTGAGATGTTGTGTACAAACCTCATTTGAGATGTTGAGAAAAATTTAGAGTACAAAGAATAGGAACAAATGAAGGGAACAATACCGTAGGAAGTCCTCAGTCCTTAGCACAAATGTGCATCAAAGGCTCCATTTGCTTACCTGTGCACGCGCATCTGTGAACCTAATTGACTGGGCAGCTAGTTGGTCTAAATTAGGTGTCTTCACTTTCTCCCCATAACTTCCAAGGGCTGGTCGGAAATCATCAACTACCAGGAACAGAACATTTGGTTTAAAACCTGAGGACCAAAAAATATAAATAAATCTTAACACTGTACACATTATAAACTAATGTCCGAAGTTTCCCCGTTTTATAAAATCAAAAGTCTGTTTTCTTAAAATTGAAAAGTCCGTTTTCTTCAGGTTTCTTAAAAAACAAACACTACGATCACACACAACACTTGAAGTTTTGCTCTAGATGTCAACGCACACACGCACCGCGGGTCATACAGAAATTGTGCATAATACGTACATGTATACATGTCCATATCCATAGCATACAATGGAATGTCGTTCTGTGACGGCTTGCCCATGCACCAATCTGAGCACTGAGCACGCTGTGAGAGATGAGTAGGTTGCGTACAAATTGTAATATAATGCAGGCAATGTGGTAGTCTTGGTTTCAAGACGTTCTTTGCGGTTTTCAAGACGTTCTTTGCGGTCATTCTGCATGTTGAATTGCATGCTACCGTTCGTACACACGCTGCACGGACCGCACTGCAATTTGGAAGACTAGCAATCTGCATTTTGACACAAACTCAGCTGGTTCCCAATGAAATACAAATCCCTGCAGTACTGCCATATTACCAGTGATGCTGATGTCGCTGCACATTGTGCATATGCACATATATATGGTGGCATGGGTGGCTTGTGCGTAAAGCGCTCGCCTCTCACCAAGGTGACCACGGTTCGAATCCTGGCCGCGGATCGCATGTGAGTAGAGTTGTGCGTTGGTTCTCTCCTGTGCCACGTGGGTTTTTCTCCGGGCCCTCCGGTTTTCCTCCCTCTGGAAAAATCAAACACTTTCGATCTCAGGCTGTACTCCATGGTCATATATGGGTCGATGTGGCCGGCAGCCATAGGCGCCTTTACGTGCCAGCGGCCCGACCACGTTGTAGCCGCGTCCTTCGCAATTCAGCATACCAGCTGCGAGTAAGGATGATTAGCCTCCCAAATTATTATTATTATTATTATTATCTACTAGCGTGCGTTTGGCCAGCGATCGCTTCAGTACCAGTACGACGTGCATATTTGGTACCGGTATGATGTGCATATTTGTTTTCGTAGTGTTGTCTTCATTCTTTCTTAAAGAAAGAAATGAAGACAACTTATTTGGTTCTGTTCAAATTTTCATGCACTTTTTGGGCAGTTATAAGCGCGAGAGATACATGTAATTAAGATTTTTTATTCAAATAGCACAGTTAACTTAGTAGGCTTGGGCGAATCCAGCATTTTTGGAATTGATTCCGATTCTGTCTGGGAATCGCAATTCCACTCGGAATCGATTCCATAATTTTTTGCCCCCCCCCCAAAAAATTGGTTTATTATTTACAACTACATTTGCGATCGATTGCCAAGTACCAGCCACCTCATGCCATTCATAAAAACACAATTTTCTACTACGCAGTTCTAATTAACGTACGGACCCTGGAAACATTTGATGTTGATGCGACTCAACTTTGCCACTCTTGGACTTTTGGATGTAGCTTCAGAAGTTGGGACATTGCCAATGAATCTCTATACATGCATGTCCAGGTCCAGAAATTTACATGAATATTTTGAATTTTTGGCTTTTCCACAAAGTGGCGGAAAAGCCTTTGTTTTTGTTCTGATTTTTGGCTGTTTCGGCACTTTTGCCGAAACAGCCTTTGTTTTCGTTAAGATTTTTATTTTTGGCTGTTTCGGCACCTTGCCGAAACAGCCTTTGTTTTCGTTAAGATTTTTTTTTTTTTTTTTTTGGGCTGTTTCGGCACTTTTGCCGAAACAGCCTTTGTTTTCGTAAAGATTTTTTTGGGGGCTTTTTCGCAATTTTGCGAAAAAGCCTTTGTTTTTGTTCTCATTTTTTTTTTGGTTTTTCCGCAAAGTTGCGGAAAAGCCTTTGTTTTTGTTCTGGTTTTTTTTGGCTTTTCCGCAAAGTTGCGGAAAAGCCTTTCTTTTTGTTCTGTTTTTTTTGTGGCTTTTCCGCAAAAAAGCGGAAAAGCCTTTCTTTTAGTTCTCATTTTTGGCTTTTCCGCAAAAAAGCGGAAAAGCCTTTCTTTTTTGTTCTCATTTTTGGCTTTTCCGCAAAAAAGCGGAAAAGCCTTTCTTTTTGTTCTCATTTTTGGCTTTTCCGCAAAAAAGCGGAAAAGCCTTTCGTTTTGTTTTCATTTTTGGCTTTTTCGCAATTTTGCGAAAAAGCCTTTGTTTTTGTTCTCATTTTTTTATTTGGCTTTTTCGCAATTTTGCGAAAAAGCCTTTCTTTCTGTTCTCATTTTTTTTTTTTTCATCTTCTTTCTTCTTTTTGTCGCCTAAACCCCATAGACTTTGTGCACGTTTTTTCTGGCCTCCACTTTTGGCATTAATCTTTGTCATACATCATTCTAAGTTTGCATAAGCATAGTCCCTATAGCAAAGATGTGTCCCGAAGATTGACGTCATGGTGACGTCATCGACTGATTTATTATAGATTTTTGAATATTTAATTTTTCCCATAGACTTGGTACACAGAAATTTAGAAAAAATTGTCGATTTTCAAAGGGCATTTTTGACTCTTTGCCAGTAATTCATTTGCACCAATCTTTGTCCAAGCAAAGACCCTATTTCAAACAACATTGTGTAATGATGACGTCATGATGACGTCATCCGGTGTGTATTTATAGGCAATTAAATTGTGACACTTTGAATATTTAAAAATGTATAAGAAATCAACCGTACGCGTCCGCAGCATTCTGTTACCGGCAAGTGGTAGAGTAGGTTAAGGTCTTTATTTCTTTCAGTGTGCGTGAAATCACGTGACCCTTGCTTCCGGTCGAAAAAGGCCAAAACCGGAAGTGGCTTATTATTTGAAAATGATAATAGAAATGAACTTGCTTTCAACGGTGTTAGTCTCTTGGCTAAAAGTATTCTTCAAATCATCTACCAATGACGTCATGCAATCTTCGAGCGCCCTCTAGCGACAGGTTGAAAATTTGCAAAAATGTATTTTGAATAGATGTCTGTGGCGAAGTTTGTCGGAATCGCCTAAATATTGGTGTATATGATGACCTTGACCCACTTAAGACATGTGCGAAGTTTTAGGTAAATGACGTCATCAGACCGGAAGTTATAATAAAAAGACCCTTTTTCATTTGAAAATTCCTGAAAAATCAACCATGGCAGTTTTTATGTTAGTTTTTGCTTTAATTGTCGATTTAAGGGTAGGTCTAAAACATATCAAAGCTTCGAGGCAATAAGCGAACTCGGACATGCCCTGCGCACGCTTAAAACTTCAGGTTGACAATACCTCTGCTCTAAAACATGCACAGAACGTCTATATGTACATGTACATACATGTACGTTATGCACATACATCGTTTGTCAGTCAGCCTGCAGAGCACGTGTTGATGAGGTCAAATCCTGTCCACATCACAGTGACTGTTTTAGCCGATTTTCGGCTAACCTTGACAGATTTTATGTTTATGCATGCGCATAGTCAGGGGCGTATAATAAAAAAAATCATAATGCCGAAAAGCCCTATGTTACGTATTTAAAGGTGCAGTTTTTCTGCAGTGGGATTTTCCACAAGTCTTTTAGCCATATCTCAATACAACACTGATATCTTACTGAGTAGTTCTGAACTTCAGCCGAGAATTACTATGAGAAGGAAAGAGAAATCGTATTTTTTTTCGGTCTGTCATTCGATTGAACATATTCCTAAGGGTCAGAATATCAAGTAATATTTCATAAAAATGTTTCAGTTCAAAGGCAAATTACAAATTTAAAGGTGCAATTTTTCTGCAGTGGGATTTTGTTTAGCCCGTTAACTTTGTACACGTGTTAGCCCATTGACTTTGTACACGTTTTCAAGCCACCATTTCTATAACTTGGCGATCTGGAATCGTCATCAATGTTACAGCCAAGGAAGACCCTCATACAAAAATTATGCCAAGACTATGACGTCATGATGACGTCATCACCCAATTTTTTTTTATTGATTTTTGAAAATTTACGTGCATATTATGTTGTCCTATATCTACAGAACTGTAAGTCTGATTGGGTTGAAACTTGGTATGTGGCTAGACCGGGATGTGTTATAGGTAAAAAAACAAACAATTAGGTGACGCCATGATGACGTCATCCGGAGATTTTATATGAATATTTGAAGTTTTTGACCTTTTAGCCATATCTCATGAACGTAACATGCAAAATTCAAAATTCTTTGTGTATTTGGTCTGTTAGGTCAAAGGTATTTGTACAACATTTTGAACAAAATATCTGACATCATTATGACGTCATAAAAATGCGATTTTTCAAAACACATATAAGGAAAGGTCCGTCTGTCATGAAACTTAATGGGTAGGTAAATAATGTTACTAGTATACAAAGTTTAAAGTGACGTCACGATGACGTCATCGTTTGGTTTTTATAATTTTTAGATATTTTAAATTTTATTGTGCTTCCACAAATTGCACACTTTCTTTCATCGGATTGACATTAAACTTAATCGGTTCAAACCAAAATCACAATGACAAAATGTGCATTGAGAAGGGTCTTAAGGATGACGTCATTACAGGGCAAGTGACATCATTTGATGAAATTATACTTTAGGAATTATTCTATGCGTTTTGAACAACCTTTAACTGCATAAAGCATTCTGAAAAGTGACTGCAAAAGGACAAATGAAAAAAATATTTGTAAAATGCGAAAAAGCCCTGTGTTCTGTTTGCAAACAGACATACAGCTCTAGTTTTTATTTCTTTTTGTCGACAAAATCCCATAGACTTTGTGCACGTTTTTTCTTGCCACCACTTTTGGCATTAATCTTTGTCATACATCATTCAAAGTTAGCATAAGCATAGTCCCTATAGCAAAGATGTGTCCCGAAGATTGACGTCATGGTGACGTCATCGACTAATTTATTATGGATTTTTGAATATTTAATTTTTCCCATAGACTTTGTACACAGAAATTAAGAAAAAAATGTCGATTTTCAAAGGGCATTTTTGACTGTTTGCCAGTAATTCATTTGCACCACTATTTGTCCAAGCAAAGACCCTAATTC